GTTTCCAGTATATCTAGTCAGAGCTTGATTAGCTGGCTCAGGTGTGTTTGATTAGGGTTGGAGCTAAACTCTCCAGGACACCGGGCCTCCAGGACGAGTTTGGACACCCCTGGCCTACATAATTTGTTTAATTTATTTCAGAGTACAGACCTAGTACACATTAATCAATCAAATTAATTCATTCAATCAATTATTGAAAACATTGACTTGCTTTTAACTCCATGAATAATGTAAGAAACACAATTAACAAAAAGGCAAATTAGCAACATTACACTAAAATTCTACATTTAGGTGGTTATATTTATACATGGTGCGCATATTTATACGCATGCTAATGCTAGCACATTTATATTTACGCAATGTTTTAGTATGATTTCAAGTCTTCGTACATGAGGCCCCTGGACTTTTTAGGGCTAATAATCCTAAACTGTAAGTTTAATTAGCATCACTGAATGGAAACATAGCTAATGATATTGTTATTGCATTAAGTATGCATAATACCCATCCTTAATGCAGATTGTGTTTACTCACTCTTCTGTGGATTTTCCCTCCAGAGCGTCCACCATCTCCAGAGTGAGGTCTTCGTGGCTCCAGTTGAGGCTGAGGAACTTCTGTGTCTGCCGTGTGTCTGGAGGAATGGCTGAAGACACCAGGCTGATGTGCGGTCGGTAGACGCAGTAATACAAGGGCAGCGCTGAGGTGATGCCATCCACACGCTGGTTCACTGCCATCTCCATACCGCGGATATCACTGCAGCTGCCATCACCTAAGAAAAACAACAACATCAGGGCCTGTATCATTAGCCGGTTTGGTTTCAGTTTAGCTTGCTCCAATGTTGGGTTTTAGGTACTATGAATGTAGCTTTAAAGGTCTCGTGAATGTGCATTTTTTATTCTATGTTTAATGTAATCTCAACTGAAACATGAAGGCGGGGCATAGAGTAGCTCCTCCCCTTTATAAAAACAGCCAATCGTGTTTTGTTTTTCTCACAGCTCTGCCAGTGAGAGTGATTGAGCTCAAGCGCATTAAATGAAAAGTCAATGAGAAGAAGGGGCGGGGCATGGCAGACACTAGAAAGCATTTGATTGGTCAGAAGATTTGATGAGAAACTAAAGTATGAGCTGATGTGAAATATTGTTGATCCATTTAGGCAGAAGTGAAAAAAATGCACGTTTTTGATGATGATATCAGGGTTATATCTTCTAAATGTAAATTTCTTCGCTGTTTTGTACCACAGAGTTTATAAAGGAAGTTTATAAATATCTTAAAAAACAACATACTGATACTAACATCTAAAACATATAATTTTAATTTCACAAAACCTTTAAAGGTGTAGTATTACTGCATCTTTTAAATGGAAATAAACACACGGTTTTTCATGTGTGTTTCGTTAAATGCAAATAAGCTGTAGTTCCCCACCCCCTTTACAGAAGAGGGCGGAGCCTTTACAGCTTGTGCTTCGGTTACTCTAAAAATAGCAAACAGAACATATGCACGTTTTAAAGGAAAAGTTCCCCCAAAAATGAGGATTACAGTATCATTAGAAAGTCATACTTAAATAAGAATAATACTTAAATAATAACTTTTATTGCAAAAACATTGTTTTCTTCTGTGTCTCTTTAAACGCTGACAAGTTTTCCAGAAGAGGGCAGGGAATTTTATAGCTTGTGCTCTATCTGGAAATAGCAAATGAAACATATGCACATTTTTTAGAGGAAAAGTTCACCCAAAAATGAATATTATAGTATTTTTATAAAATCATCCTTAAATGAGTGCACTTTCATTGAAAACATATTGTTTTACTGTGTGTATCTTTAAATGCAAATAAGCTGCAGCTTCCCACCCCCTTTCCAGTAGAGGGCGGAGCTTTTACAACTTGTACCGTGTCTGGGAAAAGCAAACAATATATATGTGTGCTTGTTTTAAAAGAAAAGTTCACCCAAAATGAATATTAGAGGGCGAAGCCTTTACAGCTTGTGCTATATGTGGAAACAACAAACAAAGCATATGCATATGGAAAAAAATATTACAGTATCATTAGAAAATCATACTTGAGTGCACTTATTACAACCACATTGCCTTCTGTGTCTCTTTAAATGCAAATAAGCTGCAGCTCCCCACCCCATTTCCAAAAGAGGGCGGAGCCTTTACAGCATGTGCTTCGGTTACTTTGGGAACAGCAAACAACATGTGCAAGAAAAAAGGGCAAGTTGCACATGTTTTAAAGGAAAGGTTTACCCAAAAATGAATATTATAGTATCGATATAAATCATGGTTAAAAGAGAGCACTTCTATTGTATCTGACCAATAAAAAGATTGATAAAAACCTACCAATGAAGATGCTGCTCATGTAGATGGGCTCAATGAAGTGGCTCAGTAGCGCCCCCTGGAAGCCCAACACCTGCCACTGCATGACTTTATCAGTGGCGGACATACTGACCACATGCGAGCCCATCTGCTCATACGAGCTGGAGAACTTAGAGAAGACTTTGCCCTCCACCACCACGTGAAGACTGATCTGATTATTCACCTCCCATGCAGAGATGGACAGAGGGTTGAGGCGGCTAGAAAACAAGAATAACTGTTGGCATTTAAGTTGAGAAATCAAATAGCTTTCTGTGAAATGTCCTGCATGATTAGCATGTCTGGGCTATATTTCGGTCACTTTAATTTGATGGTCCTTTTGTTGAATTAAGTTACATTGCATCTACATATCAACTAATTGTCATTAGATTATAAGTAGACTGTAGGTTAGGGTTGGGGTTAGATTTTTAATCGAAATCGAACGAAATTTATGCTCAATTTCGATTATCGAATCAAAAAATAGAATCGTCGATGCTGCCACGCCCCCAATGCCACGTCAGCTTGGCCTGCCAAGCGGGAAAAAACCGGCTTGTTGAAGTGCTTGTTAAACTGCAGAAGCAGGAGACCCGTCGACAGAACTTAATCCCTCTCCTCTTTCAATGAAGTCGCCGGTGTGGAAGCATTTTGGATTTCCAGTGAGTTATGTTGACAACGTTCGTGTTGTCGACAAAAAAAAACACAGTTTTGCAAGCTCTGCTATGTACGTATTACGTACGGTTCGTCAAATAGACAACACCGGCATCGCGATCCCGCCGCCCGCCCACGTTGCAAATCCGCTCGCGTAAAGTACACACTCAGGCCCTGTTTACACTGTCTTTGTTTTTAAATGGCATTTTAGAACGCCAACGATTTGACATCCACAGTGGCGTGTAGCATTTCTGAGCAGCCCTCCTTCCTCTCTACCTCTGAAAATGCACATCACGTGACCACACAGACACAGACGCACACACAGCCATGCGCTCGAGACAGCAGGTCCAGGCAGTCAGAGGACTGCTTCAATCTTTCACTCACTTGTACTTAGTCATTTTAGCGAACACCTCAGATACTGTTGGCTGGTTCCTGTTGGTTGTGCGTCTTTTTTACAGACGCCATTATAACGACACAGATCACTGCCTATTCACGAAAAAGTGATTGACAGGTGGGAATTATGTGTGTGTCTTGCCTTTATTCATTTACTGTATGATTTGTTTATGGGTAAAACAAAGACCATGCAGGTCAGGTAGTTTAAACGGTAGGCTACAAATAATTAATTGGTCATTAATTAATTAATTATTCATAATCGAAAATGTAATCGAATCATGCCTTTAGAATCGAAAATGTAATCGAATCGAGGATTTGGAGGATCGTGACACCCTTACAGTCTACTAATACTCAAATGCACCAATAAAATAAAGTGTCACCTGTATATCTTTTAAATGAAAGCCATTCTGTGAGCATGCACAAGGAGGAATCCAAATAATTAAAATTTAGCTCAACCAGTTAAACTGAGAAAGCTTTGCTGTTAAATCGGTTGCGCACGATCTAGTTAAAGTTACCGTCCTTGTCTTTATGCGATTAAATGTTTACCGATTCTTGTTCGGTACATATTATTCAAGATCAAATTTGATTCATAAATTCATGAGTGGAATATATGATAATATTTATTTCCAAAACCATCACGTTCTCTGTTCCTCAGTGGTGAATGCTTTTCCAGAGTCTTTAAAACATCTCTCGGTCTTCATTGTATTGCTTGATATATCTTGAACAACAGAGCTTCATCACACTGTGCATTAAATTTAATCTTCCTAAGACATATTGATGCATGTAGTATAAGTACGCCGTTATGGGCGACACGGTGCCTCAGTGTTAGCACTGTCGCCTTACAGCAAGAAGGTTGCTGGTTTGAGTCCTGGCTGGGTCCGTTGGCATTTCTGTGTGGAGTTTGCATGTTCTCCACATGTTGGCGTGGGTTTCCCCCACAGTCTAAACACATGTGCTATAGGTGAATTGAATTAACTAAATTGGTCGAATTGTGTGTGAATGAGTGTGTATGGGTGTTTCCCAGTACTGGGTTGCAACTGGAAGTCATACAACATATGCTGGAATAGTTGGCAGTTCATTCCACTGTGGCAACCCATGATAAATAAAGGGACTAAGCCGAAGGAAAATGAAAGTACACTATTGTAGTGTTATAAAAATCTCAAGCATCAGAATTCTTCTTGGTCGTATAAATATCAGCATTTAATGCCCTATTTTACCCATTTTTTGGATCTATTAATTAACGTGTTGCATTTATTTTTGTCTAAATGTTAAATGAGATCTTCAAAGAAGTTTCTGTCTATTTTAACTTCAGGCTTTAAAGGTTTAAAGGATCAATTCAATAAAAAAAATACTGATAATTTAAACATCCCCTTATCACCCTAGATTCATGCGTTTCTTCTGTTTTTTTTATGTAAACATGCAGGATTTTTCTCCATCTAGTGCACTTCTATAGAGGTCAGTGGATTGGAGGCACATTAAAATAGCAATTATAATGTGGTTTCAAAGAGCTATAAATGATCCAAGACGAGGAATAAGAGCCAAACCTTGCAAAACATTTGCTCATTTTCTAAACAAAAACGTCCATAATTTTAACCACTAGCTCTGAGATGCAAACTTTTGTAGCTAAGAAGTGCATATCTGGAAAAGATCAAGCAAATCGTGGTTTTCTATTTTAAGACTGAAGTAAGAAAGTAATGAACATCTTGAATGAATAAGGGTAAACAAACAGCAGGAAATGTATCAGTATGGAAGTTATTTTGGAGGTAAACAATTCTTGAAAGCAGGTCAGGTGTGCTTTTCTGCTTTGAGTGTGTCTGTTAGTGTGTGTTTACAGCTGAGACGGGATCTGTGATGCTCCTTTGGGCAGCTGGCTCAGGTACAGATGCAGAGTGATGTGATTTTTGAAGCTGAGCAGTTTGGTGGTCTCGTCCTGCTGAAACACTGACTTCTCCTTCAGAGCGCTGTTATTACTGAAGAACAGCAACAAGTTCCTGTAAAGAAACCTGCAGCACATACAATCACATTTTAAGTTCCATCCATTGGTGCTTTAAATCAATCATTGACTGACTAATGGCTCGTTGCCATTTATTTACATTTACTCAAATCAATATGTTGGGGAAAATATTCAATTTAATTTTAAGAAACAGGTAAATTCAGGATAAATATATACAATTTAATAGAAATGTTGTAGTTTTACTTTTTTTTTTTGCAATAATTGGTTTGAATTTATATGTATTATCTTTTCATTCCTAAAGATTTTAGGTCACTAAACTCTTATTTTAATGAATCTAATGGTTTAATAAGCTGTTGCATGTAGTTGACCTGCTTCTGGCACCCTTGAACAGGTATCACACACCCCAATTAATCAGCATTTCTTGATTTTGCCTCAGAAACTAAAATGTTTTATGTCAGCCCACAAGTGTTCTATTGGGTTAAGGTCAGGGCACTAGGCTGGCCACTAATTGTGTTGATCTGGAACCAAGATGCTGCTGTTCATTTTAATGAACATGAAAAAAAATTTATTTAGTTTTGTAGTTTGTGTTTTATTTTATGTTTTTCAATTGCTGGTTTGAATTTAAATGTATTATCTTTCTGTTTATAAATATTTTAGGAGAAAAACTCTTATTTTAATTCATATTTTAATGTTTAATAACAGTTTAATAACATTTTTGAACAGCTAGCGCACACCACAATTAATCCGCATTTCTTGGTTTTGCCTCAGAAACAGCATTTTTGATGTCAGCCCACAAGTGTTCTATTGGGTTAGGTTCAGGACACTGGGCTGGCCACTAATCATGTTGGTCTACAAGCAAGATGCTGCTATTAATTTGAACAAACATGAAAAAAATAGAGAAAAACATTTTTTTAAAATATATTTACTTAAAATTTTGTAGTTTGTATTTTTCCCAATGACTCAATTTAATTTACATTTATTTTATTTTCTATTTCTAAAGACTTTAGGTGACCAAACTCTTATTTTAATGAACTTGGGAATGGAGTTGACCATCTTCTGGCACCTTTGAACAGGTATCACACAACCCAATTAATCAGTATTTCTTGGTTTTGCCTCAGAAACCAAATTTTTAATGTCAATCCACACGTTTTTTCTATTGGGTTAGGGTCAGGACACTGGGCTGGCCACTAATCCTGTTAGTCTGGAAGCAAGATGCTGCAGGTCATTTTAATAAACATTAAAAAAAAATAATTTCGTTTTGTAGTTTGTATTTTATTACATTTTTTTCTATCGCTGGTTTACATTACATTATTGTTCTGTTCCTAAAGATTTTAGGTGACAAAACTCTCTTTTTAATGCATATTTTAATGTTAAATAATGTTTAATAACACCTTTGAACAGTTACCGCACAACACAATCTGCATTTCTTGGTTTTGCCTCGGAAACTGCATTTATGAAGTCAACACACAAGTGTTCTATTGGGTTAAGATCTGGACACTGGGCTGGACACACGTTGTTGATCTGGAACAAAGACGCAGCTCGCTTACAGGTGTGTTTGGGGTCATTTTCTTGCTGAAACGCTCATTTCAACAACCTGTCTGCAGCCCCTAGATCATAAGTGTCAAACTCAATTCCTGAAGGGCCGCAACTCCTTTTGGTCCAACCCTAGTTAAACACAGCCGATCCAACTAATTAAGGTGTTCAAGACTACTAGAGACTATTAAGCAGATGTGAGTTGGAGCTAAACTGTGCAGAGCTGTGGCCCTCCAGGAATTGAGTTTGAGACCATTGCCCTAGACGCTGCATTCAAACCAAAGTACACTCTGAAGATACTGAAGCATGGTGCTGCAAGAAAGCATGATATGGCGATGCTTCTTTGCAAAAACTCAGAAATGCAGAGGAATTCTGGTGTGCATTATAATCATCCTGGACCGGCAGACCTGTTCAAATGTGCCAGAAGTTCAAGTTTTAAGGCATCTTCCAATTAATTTAGTAAACATTGCATTTTTTTTTTAAGTACGATTTTAAAAATGCTAACACTGCAACTTTTTTTGAACAGCCTAATATGTGTTTTTCTTCACTTTCTGTAGAGTAATAATACATTTAACCATTTTTGGATTTGATTTAGAATGGAGTGCTAAATTTATGTGTATTGACATGAAAGTTATTAGAATTTTGAGCACACAATTGCATTAAATAAAATTTGCTGACATGCAAGATGTTTTACTAAGAAGTTAATCTTCCTCATCTGTTTCCAAAAATCTGTTTCAGATTCAGATTTTCAGGAAGCATAGCACAAATACTTATCAAGAATTTAAGCAAAAGGCATTTAGATAAAAACAAGTCCGTACGCGCTCAATAGAGCAAATCCAAAATAAACAAAGATCAAATTGTAATTCACTTGATAATATGCAGGGCTTGAAATTAACTTTTTTACTTGGTAGCACCGGTGCTCCCAACTTCAAATATTTAGGAGCACCAAAAAAATTTTAGGAGCACCAGAAAAAATTTAGGAGCACCCACCAAAAATGAATGAGCACCTCTGCAAATAGTTTTTAAAGGGATTTATTGTATTTTAAAACAACATTAAGAAGACTGACAAAAACCAGAAACAACTATCTAACTAATGCTGCGAAGACATTGATATTTGTGTGCAATAATTCCAAAATGAATGTCTAATAATTAGGCCATAGAATATTAATGATGATAAAAAATGACAATAATAGTAATGATTTCCATTTCTCATTATGATACTGCCTTGAATGTGCATGAATGTAGGTTATCTGCTATAAAAAGTCTGTTACTTTATGAAAAATAATTGTATAGTTTGCATCAAACAAAAATGAAGCATTGCAGTAAGAAATGTTTTTTTTTGTACAGCTGTTTTATAAGCATGTCAATTAATATGCATGTAAATATTATTTCTGCTACAAAACAAACAAAAGATTATAATAAATAATTCAATTCAATGATGAAAGCTGCAAAGCAGTCATCAGTAAATAAAAAAAATAATAATGTACAACTCAAAAAAAGAATAGACAAAAGAAAGTAAGTAAAGTCTCACTTCTATCACTCTTTAAAAGTTTTGGTTTCAGTTTGTGTCAACTTAAAGGTTCAGTCTGAGCTGATCTTCATTTTTCTGAGTTAGTGGAAAGCTGGCGAGTCAGCCGACCCAATTTATGAGCAGGCAGAGCAGGACTCTTGCGCTAACGATCGGCGCAATACCGGTCTTTGTTATGAGCCGCAGTTTCAGTGTAAACTTAGTAAAGGCGAGCTTCTTTGGCGATGATATGTACAGTATTAGATTTGACTTTTAGCAGACATTTGCGCTGAACACGCAGTGAATGCAACGCATCGAGATTCTGCCACCTTCTCCAAGAAGCGCGTACTCGATTGATCTCAGCTGGTGGATCATTATTCACCACGTGACGTGTCATGATGGCTTTCATCTGCGCCTCAACTTTAGGTGGGGTTTGCAAACCTGTGTGCTTTAAGTTTTTACTCTTCAGCCGTTTGTATTTCCCGTGGTCATAAAAGCTCCTTCCCTGTCATCTGACAGCGGAAAGTCTTGAGTGATTGACAGCTAATATGAACCAATATAGCAGCAGGGTAGACCAATTCAGCACGTTTTTACAAAAAATCAAAACAGGTCGCACTACAACCATTATCTGCAGTCGCACTAATGCGCCAAAATATATTATGAGGTCGCATAGATTAATTTTCGGGCGCATATGCGACCAAAATGGTCGCAATTTCGAGCCCTGATATTGATAATAGCATATCTCTCTGAACTGGCCATCAAAGAGAACAAGAATGATGGAAACCTGCAAAAACTCAATCCCCACTACCTCATTAGTGATCTCCGGGCTGTTACTACTGCATGGGAATCGTGCAGGATTCGTCCTGTGGGTGCCGGACTGGCTTTGGTGTTAGAACTGCCTGTGCCAAGAGCAACAACCTCGCATCCTGTGGCTGCAGACCAAAAACACAAGACATTTCGTGTTTGGATTAGGATAAAACAAGGCAACAAACTGACAACCGCAACTCAAATTTAGACAGATTATCCATCCAAGACGTGCTTGAATATTTTGTGGGGAGAGTCATGCACCAAAGTATATTTATTTAATTAGTTCAGGAAGTAAAAACTCTATATTCTCCAAAGCTGTATTATTTTTAGCAATAACTGGTGCAGATGTTGATGGATGAGCTAGAGTATTCAACACTTTTTATTATGATAGTATAAATCATGACAATATTTCATCTGTGAACACCAAGCGTTTACATGAGTTGCTTTTTGAATGTTCCTTTGATAAACCCATTTCACTTCTTATTGCACATAGTTCGATTCCAGCATTGCATTACCGAGCTCTCCACATTTCCTCCGGAGTATCGCGTAATTTCAGGTGCTTCACTTTCAATTTGTCGGCTTTAACTGCAGTTTGGAACTTTCACTTTCATTCAGGAACATTTTATTCATGCCCCCGTGAAAAAGGAGATGGATGTGAGTATGAACTGCTGGAAGAGTGTTGATTTTATACCGCACGCTGTAGGAGGGAAATAAAAACTCTGATTTGTTTGTCTGTGGTCCTTTTCTGACTCTGTAGGTGCAAAGAATAGTGTCAAACAGCAGTGTGTGTAGGGAATATGCTGTCGCAATATGGGGCAAAAAGCCCTACATGAAGGTAATAGTTTGATTGCTGTGTCCATATGTCTGTACTGCACTTCAATAATGCGACTAAAATCAGCAAACTCTTAATTCCATTTCTGTTTAGTTTGATTATACATTTAGTCAGATTAAGGTAATCAAAAATACTCTTAATTAGAGTATTGTCTTAACCATATTACAATCGGATTACTGGCATACATGCAAATGTACTCAATGTGGATAAGCTCTGTTAGACATTAAGCGCTCTTTTCAAATATTGGTTAAAGATAATGACTATCTAGGAAGCAATTGGTTACACCAATTAAAATACATGGAAGATATGCCAGACAACTAAATTAAAGTGAAAATATACAGTTGAAGTCAGAATTATTCGCCCCCCTTCGATTTTTTTCTTCTTTTTAAAATATTTCCCAAATAATATTTAATAGAGCAAGGAAATTTTCACAGTATGTCTGATAATATTTTTTCTTCTGGAGAAAGTTGTATTTGTTTTATTTCGGCTAGGATAAAAGCAGTTTTTAATTTTTTATGAACCATTTTTAGGTCAAAATTATTAGCCCCTTTAAGCTAATTTTTTTTCCGACTGTCTACAGAACAAACCATCATCATACAATAACTCGCCTAATTACCCAAACCTGCCTAGTTAACCTAAATAACCCAGTTAAGCCTTTAAATGTCACTTTAAGCTGTATAGAAGTGTCTTGAAGAATATCTAGTAAAATTTTATTTACCGTTTTCATGTCCAAGATCAAATAAATCAGTTATTAGAAATGAGTTTTTAAAACTATTATGATTAGAAATGTGTTGAGAAAATCTTCTAGTTTCAGCATGTTGAAGCTCCATCCTTAATAGAGGAAGGAAAACATTGTTTGTCGTTTTTTAATTCCACTACACTAAAAATGTGTTTGACGCCCCTGAAATAAAAGTATAAAGTGTGTGTGAGTGATTCTGCAGATATTTGCTAATGATCAAGATGATTTATGGTACCCAAAGAAGCCTGTGCTATTAGTTTAATCAGTTATCTGGAAATACAGTAACATAGCTTGGAATGTCATGACAGCCGTGTAAGACTTACAAAAACAAACAGACATTCAAGATATTTTGAGCTAAATCTCTTCTATGAATGACTTAAACTCTATTCAGTTCATCAGATAACAATCTTATATCAATGAACTAAAATAATAATGAATTTAGCAGATGTGCTGTTTTCTAGCTGCCAGAATGAGCCATGAAATGATCAAAACAAACAAGCGCTAACTCTGAACAATGCTATAGTTTCTGGCCTTGAACTCTGAGTTGTTTTAACTTCACGACACATTTACTGCCAACAAAGCGTTAACACTGAGCCAAATCTAACTCCCATTTGGGAACATCTCCAATTTCACTGCCTTTTACTGTAAATGTTCCTAAAAATATGCTTTGACAGTTTCCGTGGCCATTCCTCTTGTGTAATATCGCACATCTGTATACAACATCTAAACATCCTGTAGAGGCTACCTAAGCCAAGATCATTATTCCAACACTTCCTGTACTTTCTGATGTTTGATTTACCTTCGGATAACGTCATTTCAGATGAGAAACGGTGAAAGATTAAAAAGGAAGTTATTTAATTGCTTCCTCGTCTGGTTCATTTTAAGGACTAATGTTATCTGATGGCTTCAGAGTTTCAAAGTGGAGATTTATTCAGGCCATTATATCATTAAACGGCCACATGATATATTACAAACACCAACAAACATGCATCACTGCTTTATACACTATAGCATGCAGATATTATAATTTGGAAAGAAAAATGAACAGCATGGATCTCTATAATGCTTTAAAGGGACAGTTTACCCCAAAAATGAAAATTAATCAGAATTAATCATCCAGAATTTGAAGTTTTTACATACGTGTATACGCTTATTTATATTTATTCTATTTTATATATACTTATAAATAAACATTTTCTCAAAAATATGCATGTCTTTATACAGTATATATATATATATATATATATATATATATATATATATATATATATATATATACACACACACACACACACACACACACCATCACTTTATTAGGTACACCTGTCCAACTGCTCGTTAATGCAAATTTCTAATTTTTCAAATTTTTGCCATAATCATAATAATATTGTAAATAATGTACAATTTCTTGCACAGAATGTTCGTTTTGTTTTACATGACCGGGTGATTGATTTGCACTTTTAAGCATGTGTTTATTGTTATTCTCAAACATGTATGAATATGGCATTATCTAAATTATGAAATACTAGATTCAGCTAGATTTTAATAGTTCTAAAGATAAAAAGTCTTAAAATAAGTCACCTTTTCTGAACTTTTTTTGATTAGTGTAATTTTTCATTTTTAGTAAAAAAAAAACTAAACAAAGAAAATTATAATTGTATTGAGCTGTCTCTTTAAAGTCAAGCATGTCTATAATGTCCTGCTGGAATTACTACAGCATTTACCGGAACTATTTTAGTGTGGGAAGTCATTCAGAGTAAACAAGACAAGTTCATTCCATACATTTTCTCTCCGGTCGTGCTCCTGTCTGACATGTGTTTTCATTCATCACCGTCTCTGAGCATCCGGCCATGCAGAGTTCCCACACCTCTTCTTTTAACTTCAGAAAACGCACTTCCATTCATTTATGATCATCCAATGAGGATTTCTGTGACAGGATTTTAATTTGGAGTTCATACACTGGTCACTGAAATAACTGTACAGCGTGGTGTTTTTAGTGCACTGATTGCTCCAAACAACAGCAACACCAAAGTCAAATTCCAACTTAAATTTGTAAACTTTACCAAACAGACTACAGATCAGCTGCGTTTCTTTTTTCCACTGCAACATGATTTTAAAACAAATAAACTATATTAATAATACATTTTAACTCAGTCATATATTTGAAATTGATGTTTAATGAAGCAAGGACATGATTCACAGTATTTCCTATTAGATTTACTTAAAAATTAAATTAAATAACAATAATTTACAGATATATTTTAGTAGTTATTAAAATTATTACTTTTAAAAATGTGTTGAAAAATACTTTTTTTCTTTGTTTAAACAGCAATTTATTGAAAATTTCACATTAGGGCTAGTAATTTTGTCTTCAACTGGATTTTGTTTTTATTATACACTAATATGTTTTGTTTTAAAGAGTTGTGATCTCT